GCCATCTTCTAATGGCGGCAACGGTCTACAAACACGGCTCACCACAGATATATAAAATACAATAAGATACAAAAATAGTGTTACTGATAATGCAGTATTTACATATTTATTTGCTTCATCTTATTGCATTTTCCTAACTACTTATCAAATGGAGGCCAAAAGTCCTGAGATTAGACTCTTCTACTGTGGAGCCACCTTAGGGTACTTTTAATGTCCTCATTCCTCAGGCTGTAGATGAAGGGGTTCAGCATGGGAGTGACCACACTGTACATCACTGAAGACACCACATCTTTCTTGGGGGAGGATGACTCAGCTGAACCAAGGTAGACTCCAATTCCTGTTCCATAAAATACGCAAACAACAGACAGGTGAGACCCACAAATGGAGAAGGCCTTGTACTTCCCACCCAAGGATGGGATCCTCAGAATGGAGGTAACTATTTTATAGTAAGAGAAAAGGATCCCTGAGACTGGGAAAAAACCATAGATGGCACCAATAAAATACTTGATAATGAGACCAAAGAAACTGTAAGAACAGGAAAGACTCAGAACTTGAGCAGGGTCACAGAAGAAATTAGAAATCTCTACCTCTGTGAAGCTGGTAAATTCTAATGCAATCAGAATGTGAATATGGGATACAAAAATGCTAAACAACAAAGACATAAAAACTAAGAAGCTGCAGAGGTGAGGATTCATGATGACTAAGTAATGCAGGGGGTGACAGATGGCCACAAAACGGTCATAGGCCATCACAGTCAGAAGCATACCATCCATACATCCAAAAATGATAAAAAAGAACACCTGTGACAGGCCACCCACATAGGAGATGGCTCTGTGAGTTATAATGTTCACAATCATTCTTGGGACTGTGGTGGAAATGAAAAATATGTCAGTCAATGACAGGTTGGAGAGGAAGAAGTACATGGGGGTGTGAAGGTGGGAGTCAGAGCTGACCACCAGGATGATGAGCAGGTTCCCAAGAATAGTGACCAGGTACATGAACAGCAACAGTCCAAAGAGGATTGGTTGCTGGTCTGGATCCTCTGAGAATCCCAGGAGTTGGAATTCTAAGATGGCTATTACATTTAGTTCATCTATAATGCTGGGACACCTTTGGCAGAAAACAAGTTGGGAAAAAGGAAACAAATGAGCAGCATCCATCACTCCATAGGTACATTTAACTGAATCATTTATCATTAGAGCATTCAGACTGAGATCTGTACACCTTCACCAGCCTTTCATAGTCTGACCAAATTCTCTTGGAACTTTCTCAATACTATTCTATGTATCATTTATCCCTTCTGTGCATACACATTTTTTTTGCCATACTAGAAAGCAAACCCAGGGTCTCACACAGGGCAAACACTCTACTAAACTGTATATCCATCCACTTTTATTTTACTTTGAGACAGACAGGGTCTCCCTAAAGTTGCCCAGACTGGCCTCGAAATAGATCTCTTTCCTCAGCAAGCCTAGAAGTGTGTATTACAGTCATGAATCTCTGCACCCAACCTACATACCTGATTTAGAGACACTCAAGTGAACAATGTTAGAAAACCAAGAACACTCCACATAGGAAGATAATGACCACAGTAAAATGCAGTCTACTCTCCAGAAAAAAAAATATTATAAGAAACATTGCTTAGACTTTGAGAAAAAAAAAAAAAACACAGTTTATTAAAAGAAATTAAGAGGCAGTCTATTATACATTACCATATACTAAGACAATGGTACAAATCCCTTTTATGAAGAATATTTATAAACACCCCATAAGAGCTATTAGTGTCTAATAGTTATACATAACAGCTGAGTTTTTTTTTTTTTTTTTAATACTGGGGATTGAACTCAGGGGCACTCAACCACTGAGCCATACCCCCAGCCCTATTTTGTATTTAATTAGACACAGGGTCTCACTGAGTTGCTTAGCACCTAGCCCTTGCTGAGGCTGGCTTTGAACTCACAATACCCCTGCCTCGGCCTCCCAAGCCTCTGGATTACAGGCATGTTCCACCATGCCTGGCAATTAAGTTCACTATGACATCATCATGCATGCACCGAATTTAATTTCCTGTTTGGTTTTTCATAGAATAATCTACAATAACATGCTCCCATCCAGCACTATTTTTTCTGATCATAATCACTCTCATTACACCAGTTATATGCCCCCAAAACCCAGTTTAAGTTCCAACCTTTTTTGATTATCATATAAATATTCACATCAGGGGCTGGGGTTGTGGCTCAGTGTAGAGTGCTTGCCTAGCATGCATGAGGTACTGGGTTAGATCCTCAGCACCACAAATAAGTAAATAAATAAAGTCCATTGATAACTAAAAAATCTAAAAAAAAAAACTTTAATATGAATTATAATTAGTTCTGCTCTGTGAAGAAAACTCAGGATTATGATTTTTGTCAGGTCTCACTATGATTTAATTGAGATAAGAGGCAAAAGAGAAAAGCACATGAACCATTGTGAACACACAGGAACAGATTCTTCAAATGGTCAAAGAAATAAAAAAATATGACCTAATTTGCATCATTGATGTAAGAAATTTTTAAATAAAATATATTGCTTAACTAGTGGCTTTAAATCTTGTGTATCAACATATTTACCTATGTAAATCTTAAAACATTCAGATAGCCTGGTGTCACACCAAACCCAATTTCATGAGAATATCTGACTGTCTTAAATTATAACTGGCATTAAGATTTAAGATATGGTGCAGTCTCATTACTTGTTATTACATGAATAAAACAGAATATCAATTTGAAAATATAAATATTTGGTAATAATTGTTTCACAACTAAAATTATATCAAGATTTGAATTATTATCTTTGAAATTTGAGCTCTTGGTACCTCTATATGATTCCTTTCTTCTGCATAGCTCTCCTCCAAACACAGCTACTATCATGAATTTGGTGGAAAGATGCTGTTGTCAATGTTTCCATACAATTGATTTATTTATTCATAAACAGTTTTCTCAGAAAAATCCAAAAGGTAAATAAGTTCATCTAAGGAATGCACAGCACAACTTCTCTTGTCCCTGAAATGTACTACTGGACATCAACATGTGCTTTTAAGTCTCCCTGTGAAGTACAAATACCTGTCTCCAAAGCTTTAAGTGATGTACAGCATGACCTGAGAAAGGGACATCATGTAACTTTTAAGTTTATTATTATACTACTACTTTCAAAAATGTTATGTCTACCTGGGCACAGTAGCACATACCTGTAATCCCAGCAAGTTGGGAGGCTGAAGTAGGAGAATGGAGAGTTCAGAGCCAGCCTCAGCAAAAGGGAGGTGGTAAGCAACTCAGTGAGACCCTGTCTCTAAATAAAATACAAAATAGTCTGGGGATGTGGCTCAGTGGTTGAGTGCCCCTGAGTTCAATACCCAGTACCCCCAAAAAAATTTTGTTATGTCTATTTCACACAAGTGAAAATTATAATGAGTGTGTGGTAGATAGTTTTTTGACATCCACTGTGGATGAATGTTAATATTATTATTAATCACCTATATCTGTTGTCTCAGGAAAAAAAAATCATCATCATGTGTACCCACTGTTTTCCTAATATGCACTATCAAAATTACCCCTGAGACCCAGCTAAGAACAATTAATCTGAAGTATCTACTCCAGAAAATTTATATTGTATTGGGAGTATTATCTACAATTGACTCTAGTAAAAGAGAAAATAGCCTGCACTAGGAGTTACTAATACACATTCTTGGCATGTATATGGACCTGTTATATAAGTAGTACCTCTCTGTGCTCGTACTACTTAATGGAAATAGGAAGAAGAACACTCATGGTCACACCATGTATAGCTCGTAATATACATGTTTGCATCTTAATAAATACTTGATCATTGTGGGGTTTTTCTTAAGAAATCACTAAGAAAACAGTCTGTTCTCTGTTTACCTACTTGCTATCTGCTGGTGAACACTATTGTCAAAGGACACTGGAACGATGGAATGATGTGGAAGTCTAACATGTGTCTCAGCCCAATAAAGGAGGTTTCCTGTCACTCCCATTAGTACCTAGTTTGCTTTTCTTATGCCTATGAAAATCTCTGTTGTTGTTTAAAAAATAACTGAATGCTTTAGATGCTGTGAAGCATAAGTATAGGACCCATGGGCCCATGACAACGGCAAAAACAAGAGTTGTTACATCATATCTCTTGTTCTATGGCACGTTCCTAAGAAGGTGAAAGCACAGACAGGAAAGCCCCAAGTGTGTTGAAGACACCCAGATTATGGCCAGGATCTGTGAACAAAGGATGTTCTATCCAGTATTTAACATTTTTTTTTTATTTTTTATGTCCTTTATACCAAATACATTAAAGGCTCTGGGGAATCAGAAATAAGACAATCCTCTCCAAACATACAGCATATAAGGACACAATTAAAATACAACATTACAGGAAAAGGCTGACTAACTTCAGGTCATAAGACATTTTATTTGAAGGAGTATGTAGCTTAACCTTGCCATATTGCCATATTAATAATAACCAGCCAACTTTTATTTTCCCCTGTTTTATACATTCATCACATATTAATCATGTAGGGAATACCCATTTTCTTTTTAATCTCTACTTAATACATCTGTATCAACTAGAAATCTATTTGAATGACAATACTGATTTTCAGAGATACTAACAACATGAAGTATATTCAAGAAGTACTAAGTTGGAGCCAACAGCAGCAGTCAAAATAAAATTGTGAAACTCTGAGTCTGATGTGCTAATTTTTTCATTATTTTCCAACCTTAAGAATATTTGAACATAATCCAGAGGCTGAACTTCAGGCACATAACAAATACATTAATAACTCTTTCCAGTTTCCTGCATAGTAATGAAATAAAGATGTTACACTATGTCCCCTTCTCAAATTGAGTGCTCTATGTATAAGAACAGGAGGATATGGACAGCTGCAAGGACATCCCAGAGTGGGGGAAGGAGGGAGGTCTGTGTAGAATTATTGTGTGTCTTCTTTGTTTTGGATCTCAGTCATCTCATCCATTCTACCTGAATTTGTGCAGCAGATGTCATACATTATTGTATCACTAGAACTAACAGTAATTCCAAAATGGGAGCAATAGTAAAGTCCCATCCTGAAAAAGAAATGCATGGTTGGCTTGAGAGGGGACAACCTGTCAGCATTGTTGAGCCCAGACACCCTGTGTCTCAAATCCACAGCTCAAGTCAAACATGGCTTCAGTTATTCTACCCAACATAAACACCTAGCACAAATTTACATAAACAGCTGTGCTCCTTTGGTCTTTGTAAAAATGATGTAGTACTTATACCTTGGGAAGAACTTTGCAGATAAATTCAAACAATCTACATGGATCACATAGCTCAGCACTTGGCACTCAAAATTCTCCAATAAAGATTCATGAGCCTATGGATACTATCACAGTGCTTAGGACATAGTTGAAAAGGGTGCATTTTTTTTTTTTTGCTATGGTGGATAACAGGCTATGGGAAGCAGAGTGTGGGAGGAAAGATTTCTCTTGCAAAAATCATATATGCAAACTCAAAGTGCTCATAAGTAAAATTTTGCACATTATTCTTCTCCAATACAACTACCTAGATATTTTGACTTTCCTGATGAAGAGAAAAAAATGCTTTGGGTAGTCCCTCCTCCATCCTTCAGTTCCTACACTTACTGATTTGCCCTGTGTCTCTGGTGGGTCATGATGAAGGACTGTGGTTCCAACACTCCTCCCTGCTTGGTAGTAAATGACATCCTGCTCAGGCTTTAGGATTGATATCAGCGCAGCCTCCTGATCCAAACCATGGAAGGAAGAGACATAGGTACGGCATACATTAGACTGGAGCCATTGAGCTGAGGGACTAGAGACACAAGCTGACATTGACTTTTATAGGACCTTGGAGACTCAATGCTCAAAGCTCATAATTAGTTAAATTG